GGATGGGTTGGGTTGGGATGGGGTGGGATGGGGGTGGGATGGGATGGGATGGGATGGGGATTGGATGGGATGGGGTGGATGGGATGGGGTGGGATTGATGGGATGGGAAATGCAAGTCGGGGCAGTGCCAGGACATCCTAGCACTTCCCAGGATGGGTTGATCAACTTAGTTTGGGACCATGGGTGCCCACTGAGCCCTTCAACATGTCCACCCGACAGTCGTTCCTCATCGACCTCGGTGTGGCCGAGCTGGACCGTTTCGATGACCGTGAGGCACTGATCTTCCGTGAGAACACACTGGCCACCAAGGCCATCGACGAGTACATGAAACTGGTGGGGGGCAAGTACCTCCAGGACACGCTGGGTACGGATGAATGTTACAGGTCTTTGTGGGACATTACGGGTTGTTATGGGGTGCAGGACACCCTGAGCATGACATTACAGGGTGGTCGAGGTTGTTATGGGGTGCTATGGGGTGTTATGGGGTACAGGGCACGGGCAGACCGTTACGGGGCTGTAGGACACCCCCAGGACATCCATGGGGATATGGTGGAGGTTTGTCACAGCCACGGTGGTGGTTGGTCCCCTTACGGGTTGTCCCTCGGTGCCCAGGTGAGGCCGTGGCCCAGCTCTGCACCTCGGACGATAGCTGCGAGGTCGATCCCAGCAAATGTGCTGGTCTTGACCTTTCCGACAACCAGAACAACCTGCGGCAGGTCTGCGAGGAGACCTTCCAGCGCATCGCTACGTCCTGCGAGTGAGGGACAGCCCCTGCGCAGGCGTGGGGTTGGGCACAGGGATGGCCATGGGGGTGGGCACCTGCCCAGGGATGGGCTTGGGGATGGACACCGGTGTGGGCGATGGGAGAGGCACAGGGTGGGCACCAGCACCATGAAGATCTGGGGACAGATCTTGGGATGGATGGGCTTGGGGACAGGAATGGGAATGGGCAGGAGAATGGGCACCGGAACCAGGATGGACGTGGGAATGGCTTTGGGAACTGGCACCACCCCCTGGGATGGACATGGGGATGGGCACCGGGAAGGACCTGGGGACAATCTTGGGGACAGACATAGAGGACGAGGTGGGCACCACCCCCTGGGATGGACATGGGGATGGGCACTAGGAAGGACCTGAGGACAACCCTGGGGACAAGCCTTGGGGACCGTCATGGGGACAAACACAATCGTGGTGGGTACCATGTCCCACAAGAACATCGTGGTGGCACACGGATGGGGGCTCCAGGACCACCCACCTGCCCCAGCACCCATCGGGGTGTCTCTCCCCACAGCACTTTCCCGGCAGAGCTGGGCGAGATCTTTGCAGCCTGGCAGGAGGAGTGCGCAGCGCGGGGCAAGACGCCCATCGGGCAGCGCCTGGTCTCGGCCTCCCTCTTCCTGCGGTTCCTCTGCCCCGCCATCATGTCCCCCAGTCTCTTCGGCCTCGTCCAGGAGTACCCGAGCGAGGCCACCGCCCGTACCCTCACCCTCGTGGCCAAGGTCATCCAGAACCTGGCCAACTTCACCACGTACGTCATGGCAGGGCACAGCACAGTGCCGGTGGGGAGGGACATCCCCATGGGGAAGCCATTGGGCAGCGGGGACATCCCCTACATGTTGTGTGGCACATGCCATGGACAGTCATGGGGCAGTAGGGTTGTCCCCAACTTACCATGGGGCAGTAGGATTGTCCCCAACGTACCATGGACTAGCAGGGACATCTCCTACGTGCTGCATGGCAAGCAGGGACATCTCCTACAAGCCATGAACCATTCATGGGGCAGCAGAGAACATCTCCGCTCCATGCGTGGAGTTGACGTGTCCCAGCAGCAGAGCCTCCTGTGTCCCCTGTGGTGGCCTGACCAATGGGTGGCTTGGTCCAAGAACGTGGCAGTGTCCCCACCCATGTCCTGTCTTGTAGACAGGGTGATGAAGTGGTGCAGGGACGTTGCAGTGACTTGGTTCGTGATCCTGGAGGTGGCCTGGCCTCTGGCCACGGTGGTGACCCAAGCCATCTCCTGGCCCCCAGGTAACCAGACATTGTGGTCCCCAGGTTTGGCGAGAAGGAGGCCTACATGGGCTTCATGAATGAGTTCTTGGAGCACAACTGGAGCACCATGAGAGACTTCCTGCAGAGCGTGGCCAACCCTGAGAGCAGCGTCCACATGGCCACTTACGACGGCTACGTGGACCTGGCTCTGGAGCTCGCCACTCTCCACCTCCTGCTCTGTGACATCTTCTCCAGCCTAGACCAGGTGCCACCACCCATTTGTCCCCGAGGGCAGCTGGCGAGACTGGCCACCTCCTTCTCCCCACACACAGAGCTGGTGTCTACTGCCCCACAGATGGCAGAAGGCCATCCATTGTCCCCATAATGTCCTTGTCTCATCCTGGCAGGCCACTCAGGAGGAACTGGAGCCCCTGCCCACCATCCTGACCGCCATCAGGGAGGGGACCCCTGTCCCTGTCTCCGTCCGGCTCAGCTCCACCACGGAGCGAAGGTACCGGTGGGTGGACAGGAACACACATGGGACCAAGGTGGACACATGAAGCCAGGAGGAGCTTTGGTGGAGGGGTGACACTAGGATGAGTTTGGGGTGGTTCTGGTCCTGGCTGGGTTCAGGGGATGGTTCTGATCTTGGCTGGGTCTAGGCTGACTCTGGTCCAGAATGGGCTTGGAGTCTCTGGTCTCAACTGGGTTCAGGGGGTGGTTTTGGTCCCGTATGGATCCAGCAGCTGGTTGTAGTCCAGGTAGAGAATGGTTCTGGTCCAAGTTCAGGGGATGGTTCCAGTCTGGACTCAATTTGGTGGATACTTCTGGTCCAGGAGATGGTTTTGGTCCCGGATGGATTTAGTGGGTGTTTCTGGTCCTGGCCAGGTTCAGAGAGGTTCTGGCCCTGGCTGGGTTTTGGATGACTTTGGTTCTTGCTGGTTTTGGGGTGATTCAGGTCCAGGTTGGGGTCAGGAGATGGGTCCGATCCCAACTGGGTTTGGGGTGCTTCTGGTCTTGAATGGCTTCAGGGTGGTTCTGGTCCCTCCTGGATCTGTCACCACCCCAGTACTTGGCCGTGCCATCGCCCCATCTCCCCTCGCAGCCCGGCAGAGAGCTTCAAACCAGGCTTCGTGCCACCACGGGACCTGAGCAAGCACAGCCCCCTCATCAAGAGCCAGTCCCTCATCAGCATCCGCCGCGTCCGGGGTCGGGAGGACGGGCCAGAACCAGAGCCGACACCGGCACCGGTACCATCCCCGCCACCCAGCCGGGAACGCCGCAATGTGCAACGCACCCAGAGCGTGCCGGCACAGAACAAAGCCACCCGGCGCCTCCGCAAGCAGAGCAGCGCCGAGCACATGGCAGATCCGCCGGCCGAGGACAACCTGGGGTCCCTCGTCCCCCATGATGCCCCGGTAAGCCCCGGCAGCTGCCACGCCACCCTCGTGTTGGGGGCGAGGAGAACATCGGCGTTAACGGGTGGCGCCCGCGCCCGAGG